GCGCCAAGCCGCCAAGTCTTCTCAGGGAGATACAACCACGTCCTGTCCTGTCGTCAACGTCTACCACGCGGTTCTTGTTGAAAAATTGCCGCACACAACACATCCTCAGTCGTTTGCAAAATAATATCATACGACGACATACGAGTACTGAATTTCGCTAACAGAGAAAGCCAAGAGGTGCATGGAAAAGACAGTGTTGCCCTCGTCCCCATCTTCGTCCCCAAATCGCATCCCGTCCACGCGGCCGGCCGGGTCGAGCTTGCCGCCCAGCTCGACCATCCGTGCCGGCGCCGCGCACCACTGGTCCGAGCCCGCGGGGTGGGTCCCGGTCCACCTCGCGCTTCCCGGGTACGTAAGACCGGAGGTACCTGGGGTAGGACGGCCGGAGCCTCGGCCGGCCTCCGCCGTCAAGCTCGTCGTTCCGCATTGTCGCCGGAGCAAGCTCGGGCGGGAGAGGGCGCCGGTGGAGCTCGGCGCGGGGGTTGGTTAGGATCTGTCGACTGCGGCGCAGGCCTGAGGCCCCTCCCTTCCTTCCACTTGCGGCACAAGCATCCTGTAACCACGGCACGGCCCACCCTTCGCCCGCCAGGCGCCAGCGCCGTGGGAGGAAGGCGGCGGATTCGCCGGCGGCGGCCAAGTAAGTGGGGCGTTTGCGGTGCCAACTTGGTAGTGGTAGGGGCAAGCATTCCTACCGTGTCACAGCATCTTCAGCCGCGCCCCTAACAGCCCCAGGTGGACTAGAATCAGGTGACATACGCTACGGTGACATATAGCTCAAATTTAAATTTAAACATTACAAAAAAAAATCTGAAAAAAACCATGTATGTTCATAGCACATATTAAGATAACCCTTAAAAATTTCAGATCAAAATTCGAAACATACATCGGAAAAAAAGACTCGTATGTAAATAGTCTACATAGAACAATTCGGGAACTATTTATGACAGATTTTTCTTTTTTATTTCTCGATGTATGTTTCAAACTTTGATCTGAAATTTTTAAGGGTATCTTAGTATGTGCTGTGAATATGCATAATTTTTTTCAGATTTTTTTAGCAATGTTTAAATTTGAATTTGGGCCGCATATCACCGTGCATGTCACCGTAGTGTATGTCACCTGATCCCATCCTTCCGGACTAGGTTACTTTTTCGGCGCCGAGGCTAAAAAAACTCCAATCGCGCCCCCAGAATGTCGAAAAGCGCCGGTTCGGCCCGTTTTTGGGCCCGGCGCTCGCAGGCCGAACCCAGCGCAGTGGGGGGCGATTGGAGGCTCCGGCGCAAGGGAAAAGCGCGGCTGGCCCACCCCGTCAAGTGAAAAGTCAAGTCTTTCTTTCCCGTCTCGCCTCCCACCCCGCGCCCTCGGCCGCCACTAGCTGTATCCCGGCGTCGATCGCCGCCTTTCACTGCTAGATAGCCAATCCCCGCTGGAAAAATAGTAGAGGTTCACCGACGTAGCCCCTCCACCAACAGCCGGCCGTTTCTGGCCGTGGAGGGGCGGTTTAGCGGCGGGTACACGCCCACGGGCGCGCAAGGTGTTCGGCGATTTGCCTCCCTCGACGAGATGGACTCGGATGCCGAGGAAGTGCTCGCCGCGCTGCTGGAGGAGGAAGCCGAGGCCGACGTCCAGGAGGAAGAGCATCTCATGATGCTCGCCGTCCTCGCCCAGCTGCTGGCGAGCAATGAAAAGCCGCGGCGAGGTGGCTCGGCGCCGAGGCGGGTGAAAGCAAAGAACCGGCATCGTCTCGAAGGCTACTGCATGCTCTACTCCGACTACTTCGCCGACGCTCCACTGCACGGCGACAAAACATTTCGGCGCCGTTATCGGATGAGCCGAAAGCTTTTCCTCAGGATTGTGAATTCCGTCCGGGAGTTCGACATCTACTTCAAGTACAAGGAAGATTGCACACCGGCAAACTTGGATTCACCTCGATGCAGAAGTGCACGAACAGCGATGAGGATGCTTGCATATGGAGCTCCCGGTGATTCACTCGACGACTATGGGCGCATGGCCGAGTCCACCAGCATTAAGTGTTTTTACAAGTTCTGTCAGGCAGTGGTGGCAGTGTTTGGACCGCAATACTTGTGAACCCCTAATGCGGAAGGCACTGCTCGAATCCTAGCACAGAATGCAATAAGAGGATTTCCTGGGATGCTTGGAAACATCGACTGCATGCATTGGAAATGGAAGAACTGCCCATTTGCTTGGCAGGGGATGTACAAAGGCGCCAAAGGCGGTTGCAGTGTGGTACTTGAGGCGGTGGCCACACATGACCTCTGGATTTGGCACTCCTTCTTTGGTATGCCAGGAACTCACAATGACATCAACGTGCTGCAGTGCTCCCCTGTCTGTGCCAAGCTTGTTGAAGGTCATTCTCCTCCGGTGAACTTCGAGGTCAATGGGCGGCACTATAATAAGGGGTACTACCTAGCTGATGGCATCTATCCGAGATGGTCTACATTTATGAAGACTATCTCAAACGCTGTGCCAGGAGGCAAGAAGTCCCACTTTGCCAAGGTGATGGAGACTTGTAGGAAGGATGTCGAGCGGGCTTTTGGTATGCTCCAATCTCGATTTGCTGTTGTCCCCTATCCTACTCAGACCTGGTCGAAAGATCAAATGTGGGAGATCATGAATTGCCGTGTCATCTTGCACAACATGATCATCGAAGAGCGAGCAGGAAGAGCCAGTGTTTGACACTGAACCATACTACAGGCAGGGTCATCTAGCCGAAGTTGATCACCAGCTACCGGCAACCTGGACCGCCTACCTCAGTATGCGTCAGGAGATCCGAGACCCACAGGTGCATCATCAACTGCAGCAGGATCTGGTGGAGCACCTATGGAGGATCAAGGATGACGCCTAGCTCGACGTGTGATGAAATATGAGTTTTTTATTTGTTGAACTATATAATTTGTATTGAACTATTTGTTGTTGCATTATGTTGTTGAACTATTTGATTTTTTATGATGAACTATGTAATACAAAAAATATTTATGTTAAGAATTCAACGCTGAACCATGTCGAATATGGGCCGATTCTCACCGATATTGGACCATTTTTCGTCGAAATGGTCCGAAAAGCGGTCAGAAATGGGTTGATATCGGCGTCTGGAGACGACGGCTGGATACCCAACCGCTCCAGAGCCGATTCTACCGCCGGCTCGTCCTCGGAAGGCGGTTTTTATGCCTCCTAAAGAGGTCAACGGCTAAAGATGCTCTAAAAGACAGCCGGATGGGATCACACGAATAAACAGGCGCAGAAGGGTCGTCGTTGGACCAAAGCCAGCTCCGATCTCCAACTTCTTTAAGGGATACAGGTAATGTTCCGTTTGATCCTGGCTCCCAGTCTGATATTCCAGTCGGACAGCAAAGGGGCTGCTCTGCATTTGGCGTCGGAGCACGACTAGTAAATTCTGATGCAGTTCTGGAAGCCATTGAAACCATGAACCTAATTTGCTGGAATTGCAGAGGGCTAGGTAGATCCCTTGCTAGTAATAAAATGCAATACCTGGCCAATTTGATGACATCGACGAACGCTAAGGTAACTTTTATTTCTGAGACGCTTTCTTCAAAAACTGAGTCACATGATCTAGTTAATCGTTTTCCTATTAGTGACGGTTTTGTTGTTCCTGCGGAAGGCCGGTCTGGAGGCCTTTGGGTCATGTGGATGGATGACATCAAGTTAGATATAATCTACTCTAGTCAGAATGTAGTCTTAGCTTCAGTTGTTAATACTAGTGCCAATTTTAATTTCTTGTTAGTCTGCATCTATGGTGACCCGCATCATCGCAAAAAGAAGGACATATGGAAGTTAGTTGAGGAGTTTGTTTCTTCTTCTCCATGGAAACCTGTGTACTGTATGGGTGATTTTAATGATATCCTTGACCCCTTGGAGAAGAATAGTAATGTTGTTTTAAACCGCCGTCGTATGGCTAGTTTTTCTAATCATATTAAACGATGTGGTTTAATAGATATGGGTTTTAATGGTCCTGCCTTTACGTGGTGCAATAAACGTTTTACTTCCGTTCCTACTTATGAAAGACTTGATCGATGTTTTGCAAACGTTGAATGGTGTAAAGTATTTCCTAATACTGCTGTGTACAACTTGCCAATTATGTATAGTGATCATGCACCAATTCTTACTATCTCCAAACCTGTTACTGTTAAAACAAAAAGACCTTTCAAATTTGAGAATTGGTGGCTTTTAGAGGAAGATTATCATGATATGGCTAAGAATAATTGGATCACATCTAATAATAAACCTTTCCATGTTAGAGCTGCCTTACTTGCAGGTTCCCTCAAGAAATGGAGTAAGAGCAAAAGACCTTTGCAGCAACAGCTTGACATCATTCACAAAGATTTGGAGATGCTACAAGCTAATCCTATTCATTTACAGGATCACAACAGGGAAGCTTGCCTCATCGAGCAATATGACAAGACTATGACTAAACTTACAGAATTTTATAGGCAAAGGGCTAAAAGGCATTGGGCTACTAAAGGTGATAGGATCACTAATTATTTCCATAATTCAGTGCTTAAAAGGAGAAGGAAGAATAGAATTAGTTCAATCATTGATCATAATAATAAAATTCTTCAAAGCCCAGATGAGATTGCGGACTGCTTCATAAACTACTTCACTAATTTATTCTCATCCAGTAACCCCAATTTAGATACTCTTCCTTCTCTGAACAATAATAATGAGAATATAATGGATTGTCCTACTGCTCCAGACAAAGATGAAGTTTTGCAGGTCCTTAAAGGAATGAAGAAGAATGCATCGCCTGGACCAGATGGGCTGAATGTATTTGGACTAGTCCTTGGTGCAATGATTGGGACAATATTTATGATCACCTTAAACCTAATCTAGGTATCCCTTGTCCTAAAGTTGTTAGTGATCTTTGGAAACCAAATTGTAAGAGTTGGGATGAGGATAAAATTAATATCTTTTTCGATGATAATTTCAAGAGAAATATTTTACAAACTCCTATCATTAATGCTAATATGGACGATACTTTATGTTGGATTCATACCCCTAATGCGGAGTGTACCACTAAAAGTGCTTATAAAGCTTTGATGCAGGAGGCCCAACCCAGGTTACAATCTCAAAGTCACACTATTTCAGATTCTGAAATTTCTATTCTCAATCAGGTTTGGAAAAGCAAAAACCTGGCTCCAAGAGTCAAAACCTTTGCATGGAGAATTCTAAGAAGAGCTTTAGCTTCAGGGCTTAGGGGATCCAGGTATTCTACTCACATTAAAAAGGAATGTTGCAGGTGCGGCGAGACGGAGACAGATTTGCATCTTTTCTTTACTTGCAATTTCACTAGAGCTATTTGGTTCCTATTTGGTCTTAAGTCTGATGAGTTCAATCATAACTTATATCCTTCTGATGTGATTCAAAGGATTTTATCTTCTCATCATGCTGACTTAGATCTGGATACCAGTTTCACGTTGCTTTGGAATATTTGGAAAGCGAGGAATGATCTTCTTTTTAATAAGAAAAAATGGAGTATTATGCAGGTTATATATGCTACAAACGCTATGCTAAATGCGGAGCTAATGGAGGAGAAGGCGGCGGCTCACATCAACCCTGCAAACAATAATATTTCTCCTTTTCACGTTCAAAATATACAGTTCCAAAATGCAGGTCTTTTGGCGTACAGTGATGCTGCGTACAATCCGGAAATTGCAAAAGAAGAAGCTGGTCTTGGAGTTTTTCTTAGAAATGTTAGTAACAACCATACTGTATTTGTTCAAGCTGCTGCAAAAAATGTTTGCTCTATTTTGCAGGCTGAAGCTATTGGATTATCACTGTCGGCTGAGGTGGTTAAAGCTCTAGGATGGAATACTGCTATTTTCTTATCTGATTGCAGGAATCTTGTCCAGGTGGCTAAAGCAAGAAACCTTTTAGAGAGTCCAGGAGATTGGAGGATAAGACCTATGCTTGCTGAATTTCTTAATCACACTTCTTTTCTTTCATTATGTGAAGTCAGGTCTATACCTAGGAATGGGAATGTCATTGCTCATTCCCTAGCTAAGAAAGCTTTTATGCAAAGAGCTGTCTCTAGTTCTTCAATCTTATGCAGCAAATCTTCTGGATGTAAAGCTCAACAAGCTTTAAACTCTATCTCCTTTCCTTTTGGAAAGTTGATCTCTGTACACTGTTTGGGTTGCAAATAAATAAAATCAAGGGCACTCTTTGAGGGCCAAAAAAAAAGAATAAACAGGCGCTATCTTCTCCGTGAGCACACCCCGTTTTGTCCCATTGTTACATGTTCCGCAGATACCGCGACTGGAAAAAGCATGTGCATGTGCATGGGCAGCAGCAGTAGGGACACGGTGAAAAACAAAAGGTGATGTCCCCGGCAGTTGCATGTGGACATCAATAATCGCAGGCCGGAGCAAAGCGATCGATTTACTACTAAAGTCTCTGACGTGTTTCTAAACTGTCTTTCAGGTTGATCGATACAACACCTTTATACGCTCGCTACGATGCTAGACGTATCATCGAAATATAGACTAGGCAAAGAAAACCTTATTCTTTCTTTAGAAAGTCGCCGCTGTCTCGTCTTTTTGAGCAGAATATAAATCCTAACAAGACTTAAAGGAATATCTAACGACGAAGCCCTCCCGCCGGCAAGGACCAGAATCCATCACGCCGCCATAGCTCTAAGGTCATCGGAGACAAGGTGGACTAGCGGTGGAGCCGGCGGGAGACGAGGGACCTAGCCTATATGAGTTATTATATGAGAAAGTAAAAAAAAAAGAACTTCAAAAGCTAGAGCAAAATATATTACATGTTCATAGGCTAAAAATCTTACCATCTTATACTTTTATAAGAGTGCAGCTAGCTATAATTATGTTGTCCACAGATGAAAAAGTTTAGTGCCCTACAGTATGCCCCGAAGTGTTCTCTTGTACAAATATGGCTAAAAAAAAGAATATGCAATATTGAGCTATTAATAATCAGATTTCCTTTGAACAAGTGAATAATCGTTGATGCAAGAGCTTACAATTATGAATTACCTCGTAGCAAAACTTGTTAGTAATAATTCCTTTAGATTAACTTAACACATGATCTTAATCTCGTGATTAGAACACCTCTTATGCGGAATAGTAGTGACTAACCGTGATTGATAGGGATCAGCAGGAGATAGCCCATGGCTGCACCTTGGGGTCTCCGGGAAGACATGGCCGGGGAAGAAGGGCAGCACCACCTGGGTGACGTAGATGGCAGCATGCGTTTGTGGAGATGCAACAGCTGGTCCAGGAGCCTTCGCTGATGTCGGCAGGAAACCGCCGGCACTGCTTTCACGGCGGCCGGGGGTGGTCGATGGTCTTCACATACCTCATCGCACGTTTAGGATTGGCAGTTAGGAGGGTTTGATCGTGATTTTGTT